TTGAAGAGTGAGGAAAAGAGGAGACCAACGTTTGAGTTATCGCCATGAACTACTTTCTGAGCATTGGGCGTTGATCAGATCGGTCGCTGGGATAGCAGAGGAATGCAACGCCAATATCTCCGTCTCGAACACCGGTGAGGGTCATAGTTGCGCAGATAGTATAAGGTGTTAGGGTGGAAGTTGCAACATTGACAGTCTCCCTTCGAGTGGTGCGTGGGTCTCGTTCTGGCCTGGGAAGTGGAGCCTTGTCCACCGAGAGGCTCGATGATGTCCTACGTATGTTGTTGCTTATTATAGCGAGCAAGCTCAAGTGCATTTTGGCGGCTCTAAATGGTCTTCTATTCAAAGCACTATAATACGAGACTACATTGGTCCTTTCGACAGTCGATCCTAATATGAAGTTGAAGTGGCCGGGTGATAAATGGCTACACTCCGAATTAGCCATTTCATATGAGCCAGCAAGAACATGGTTAATACATGTACATGTTGTGAAGTGTTTTCCATAGGTCCGAAGTAATTTTGTATTCGGTGATTGTCTGACCTGTAAAACGTAGCTACTGCACGCGTTATAGTTATCGCGATCAGAACGATTCTTTGCTACGAAGGATTCCTGGTAGCCGCAAAGCCTAAATCGGTAAAGTTTACCGACGTACAAGTGGAGTAACTATCGTCGTGGACACTATTCAAAATGTGGCTATCATGGACTACCAGAGAGTTATTGTTTTCTAGTGAATCCTTTCCTGTGTGCATATGTACTTTGTTCTGAATAAAATCGTGAAATGAAACAGAATTCGAGTTGATGAAAAAAAAAAAAGATGAGAGGATAGCGAAAATAAAACCATGATGAAATCTGCAGCTAGCGACAATGTCATGATGCTACGATGGTCATCCCCAAGTAGGCACTTCGGACTATTGCGAACGGTCCTCGTGTAGAATTTCCATCGAGACCACTCCGCTCGCAGAGGATAATTAATTGCTCCTAGCATTGTTGCCTAACTTCGAGGACAGAAAGTCATCGTCAAGCTTGTCACCCGTTTTTCGGTGACTTCACGATGCGCGGGGTCCGGGTTCTCTCTCCGGCATTCGGTGGGGGGACGAAATTGTTTGTCACCATTACCACCATCATTAACACTACCGTGGGGCGGTATGCCCTCGTGGTGGTGGCCAACTCCACCTCCGGGTCGATTGCTACGTTGACTTCTTCCTGCACGTAGATTCACGAGTACGTCGATGGTACGAGGGGGATTTTTTGTTAGCAAAGGCTGTGTGGTTATCGTTGTGGGAGGAGTCGTGATCCGGGAATGACGGCAATTTGCTGGCATTCGGAGCCCCCCCCCCCGTCGTAGCTTCTATCGAAGTGTTGATCGACGAGTCCTGCATCTGGAGGGGGGCGTTAGTGGTGGTGGACACCAGGGAGCTTATCACCGCTGTTACTACCAGGAGGAGACTCGAAGTCCCGACTGAAGTCATGGGGCGGGGACAAGTCAGCGTCGCTGTCTTGAGAACCGAGGTCCAAGTTGTTGCTCGCTGATCTTCCGTCGCGCTGGAACTGTGAGTGCGGGCTTAATGGAGATCCCGGGTGGGAAGAGGCTTGGACGAGAACCGAAGCTGCAGCCATTGCAACGGCGATTGGAACCGTGAGCTTGACCATGCGCTTCAAGAGGTTGGTTGTTGGATGGAGTGGTGGGTGCTTCGAGTGGCGCAAATTGAAGAGTGAGGAAAAGAGGAGACCAACGTTTGAGTTATCGCCATGAACTACTTTCTGAGCATTGGGCGTTGATCAGATCGGTCGCTGGGATAGGAGAGGAATGCAACGCCAATATCGGTCTCCGTCTCGAACACCGGTGAGGGTCATAGTTGCGCAGGTACATGTAGTATAACGAGTTCGGCCTGAAGGTTCAAGACACCTTTACAGTTTCCTTCGAGTGAGTAGTTCGTGGTCACGTTCTGGCCTGGGAAGTGGAGCCTTGTCCACCGAGAGGCTCGATGATGTCGTACTTACGTTGTTGCTTATTGTAGCGATCGAGAACAAGTATCGGAATGCGATAGTTGGTACTTAAGTATCAAGCGTTCACAGGTTCCATGCCCAGCTTTTCGACACTCGAGGAAGCATCTGTTTTTCCATTACTGAAGTTGAAGTGGCCTTTGAGGTGATACACCCGTCTGTAGCCATTTCTTAATTACAACTTACGCAGCTACATGCTCTTGTACTCAACAGCGTTGTGGCTGACGTGAATGCACCAGTAAGAACAATGATATTCTACGAAGGCTTTTAGAGCCCGAAGTCCTACCTGACATTACAAGGCGCCGAAACGCTCGAGAACCAGAATAGATATGGCTTTACATTAACAAACATGCAGCATAATATAATCGTGACGTTTACAGAACATGTTTGTCACCACTTCACGAGCAGCAATGTCCTCGCAGCTATGCCATGCTTGTAGTTAGTATGCGCTGCATCCGAAGTCCTTCGCGAAGCTAAACTGTTCCTCCAGTACATAAGCCGTAGGCTCCTGACAAGTCGTGCGGTCACCGAGAACTGGTCGGTAACCCGGCTCAACGATATGTTGCAGCCATCAAAGGGACCTCTCCGTTTCGGTCCCAACTCCATCGAAACTTTCATTGCGCACAAACGCTACAAGGCCACCTCTTCACCATGAATTCACGTGGTGCTCAAGATTCCAACCGTAACGTTGATCTTTAATTTGGGCTTCCACAGCGACGACAAGCTTACATTTTACACTCTCGTGTGTCGCCCGTCCCGCCCCCAGAAGGCGCGGCGCCATCGTATTCATTCTGGCGATAAACATTGAATATTGACTCAACAAACTGAGCTTGCGAAGTTTGTACGTATGGCATAGGCTACGCCGAGCTTGCATTATCCGGCCATCTCGCCGATATCGTCGCCGAGGATCCTTCGGCATATAAAGGTGCAGCTGAGCGTCAGGCTGAGGCTCTGCCGCCGTTCCATCACTCACACAATAATTGCGTATGGATTTGTTCCGTCAAGACGGATTCTGTAGCCAAATGGTAATCGAGCGAGTGCCAATCGATTCAGATTGGGAGATATCGCAGACTCCCGAGATATCCTCAATGTCAAGATAAATCGGCAAGCAGTCTGTCCTACAGCTCGAGCGTGGCACCAAGAGGACTAGCAACGGGGTATCGTACCACCAGATGTCGTCTCTAATCTGGCTGAAGTCAATTGGAGAGGCGGCATGGCAGCGGGGAAGACATCCGCGGAGACCGTCAACCAGCTCTAAATTCGATGAACCAGGATAGTCTGCAAATTAGAACCCATCAATCAAATGCCCAAATTTCTCAAAAAATCCGTTCAGCTTTTGACCAACCAAAAGCGATCTTGTGCGTTTTGGCCAATGATCGATCATTAAAACGGTCGCTTGTCCAACGCGGGCAGCATCGAGCCCCCAAAGTCGATCTAGCACTAGCACCATACTTCGTACTCAGCACCAGCTAGTACATGTACATGCACTGCCGAAGTCAGCCCAATTTGAACCTTTTTTAGAGTCCCCCGGGTGCTTGGCGCGCAGATGGAGGGCGGAAATTCGATTCGTGGTGGCTTGTCTCGCACCGTTTGATTGGTCGAAAAGAGATGTGACCGGTCTCTGACACTCGCACTGAATATTTGGCATGACCGTTTCCATACTGGAGCCCAGTGATTCGACAGCCTGCTTTCTCCCTCTTTCGCACGCCCGAGAGTGCCGTGCCGTCACAACGGGAAACTCCCCAGCGACGCGAGGAAGGCACTTGGAGCGCTCTAGTGTCTGACCCCCTGCCGCTTTAACACACTACTTTCTACCCGTCTGCGGGTATTTCCCCCAACTCTTTCCGCACAGGCTTGAAAAGCAACAAGAGCGCGAAATTGACACCAATCGCCATGGCGCAGCGCGGACCTTCGGGACATGGCGAGATGGACCGACGTCGGCGCGCCAGCTCCAACTACTTCGAGCTGGACGCCGATCGGCGCCGCAACAAGTCGGAGCGGTCGGAGCGCTTCAGTAAACGCCTCAATACGATGGACGTGACGCCTGCGAGCTTCAAGGGAGCTGCACAGGACGACGAGGCCGCCGTGGACTACTGCTGCGAGTTCCTCAAGGCCAAGTTTGGCTTCCAGGAGGGATCCGTGAGCAACCAGCGCGAGCACGTGTTGCTCCTTTTGGCCAATGGCAAGGCGCGTTGCTTGCCAAGTGACCCGGCAGACCAGCACCTCGTGCAACTGGCCAATAAGCTGTTTAGCAACTACAGGTCGTGGTGCAAATTTATCCACACGAGTCCAGTGACGTATACTGGGAGTGGCATTCCGCACTCTACGCCTTCTGGTAATTTGCACATGGATGTGATGCTTTACTTCCTCATTTGGGGAGAAGCGGCAAACGTGCGTCACATTCCAGAGTGTGTGTGCTATTTGCACCATCAGATGCTGACAATGGTCAACGCCGACCCGCAGGGCCACGAGCAGCAGCCCGAGGGCTGGTACTTGGACCAAGTGATCCGCCCCATTTGGCGCGAGGCCAGCAACATGAAGCGTCGCAACGCACTTGGAAAACCCTTGGAACATGTGAAAATCCGCAACTACGACGACATTAACGAGTATTTCTGGAAGCAGCATTGTCTTAGTATCCCAGTGACGCACGTGGGCCAGGAACTGACGCAAAACCACGGCAAGACGTTCTACGAACACCGCAGTTTCCTCACGTTGGTGCTCAATTACTACCGGATTTTCCAGTTCAACATGATGTTTCTGGTGCTTTTGACGGTTTTGGCATTTGCCGTCACTATCTCCCCGGATGGTGGCAAAAGTGGATGGGTTCAGTTCGGTCGCATTGGCGACGTGGTGGAGCCCTACACAACCCGCGACTTGAAAATTGCCGTTGTTGCCATTCCGTTCAGTTTGAGTTTGATGGCATTTCTCAAATGTGTCATGGAAGTTTGCCACGGCTGGCATTTGTTGATTTCCAAGGAAAGTTCGGCAACTAGTTCGCGTTCCTTCACTTATGGCACGGCGTTAGCTACTCGTATCCTCTGGAACGGAGGCTTTGCCGTGTTGTTCGGTATCATGATCTACGTGCCACTGAACGAGGACAAGGACACGACGTTGCTGGATAATTTGTACCCATTGTGTGGTGCGTACATCCTTCCTGGGTTGCTGGTGCTCTTGACCCAGGCGTTTGCACCTCAAGTTATCAATGGCACATTTGCCGCTAAGTTTGTGCGTGAGGGGGAAAGTTGCTATGTCGGTCAAGACATGACGCCTCCCTTCTCGTTCCAAGTCAAGTACATCGCGTTCTGGCTGCTTTTGTGGATCGTTGAAGCCATCACGTCGTACTTTATCCTGGTGCGTCCGTTGATTCTACCGACGTTGAGTATCTACGCCATGACGCTGGACTACCAGAACTCGTTGGTGTCGTTCCACAACATTGGCATTATCATCGCCCTGTGGCTGCCCGTGGTGTTTATTTTCAACTACGCCACGCAGATTTACTTTACGATTTTCCAAGCTCTACTCGGTGGATTCCAGGGAATTCTCATGAAGACGGGAGAGATCCGTGGTGCGAAGGAGATGACCAAGGCGTTCCGTGTCGCTCCTCAGTTGTTCGACCAGAAGGTTGTCACGCTTCTTGCGCGGTCCAGTGATGCCACTGCTAGCGGTACCGACTCGACTCGAGCCAGTGCTCTAGCTGCAGCCTACGAGTCTCAGATGATGCTCCGCTTCGTCGTAGTGTGGAATGAGATCGTCAATTCCTTCCGTGAAGGCGATCTATTGGACGATAAAGAGGCTGCTATCCTGCAGTACGATATCCGTAGCACTGGCGAAGTATTCGAGCCAGTGTTCCTGTCTGCTGGTAAGTTGACGGAGGCGATGGGGCTGGCTATCAAGACGGCAAAAGACGGCAAAGGAGAGTCGCAACTGCGTGTCACTTTGGTGGAGAATGATTGTCTCTCGGCTATCCGTTCGTTCTTTACTGCTAGTATGTACGTGATCAGCGCGTTGTTCGGCAATGACGACGCCGACGTGGTTGACGGATTCCGTATGATGGAGGAGGTCGCGTCCAGTGGAGGGTTCCTCAAGTCGTTCAACGTCCGTGAACTTGCCAGTCTTCGTGTGGCCGCTGTGGACCTTTTGGAGGAGATTCTGGACCTGCCAGACCCAGATGTGCAGTCTCAACACATTCCGGATGCTCGTGTGCACTCTATGGGCGTGATTCGCAACTTTGTGTCCAAGATGGAGGCCTTTTTGAACGGAGTGCAGTCGTTCTGTGTGGATCCGGCTCTGCAACGCAAGTTCAGCAACTCGAAGTTCTGTTCTAGTGCAAATGGCTACATTTTTGCTTCTCGTGGCCTCGTCAACTTGTTCTGCAGTGATACGGCCATGGGAGCGGCTACACGAGCCTGTTTGTTGCTGTCTCTGGACCGGTCAGAGGCCATGCCGCGTACGACTGAAGCGCAGCGTCGTCTTGGCTTCTTTATGAAGTCGCTGGTCATGGACATCCCTCAACTGCGTTCTATCAAGGAAATGCGCAGCTTCTCGGTCGTCACGCCATTCTACGCTGAGACGGTATTGTTCTCGCTCAAAGATCTGAACGATCCGCTGGTTAACCACCCGATTTTCCAGCAAGTAGAGGAGGACGGCAAAAACTTGACGATTCTGAAATATCTGACGAAAATCCATCAAGAAGAATGGGATAATTTCTTGGAGCGTGTGGACGTGAGTTCGGCTGAGGAAGCGCAAAAGAACCACCCGGAAGAAATCCGTCTGTGGGCCTCGTACCGTGGCCAGACGTTGGCGCGTACTGTGCAGGGTATGATGATGTACGAGGACGCTATCAAGATCCTCCACTGGCTGGAGATTGGCTCGAGTCCGGGCAAGACGGCGGAGCAGAAGCAGAGCCAGTTGCAAGATATGGTGCGCCTGAAGTTCTCGTACATTTGCGCCTGTCAAGTGTACGGGAAGCACCGCGCAGAGGGCAAAGCGCAAGCTGCTGACATCGACTACTTGTTGCGCGAATACCCGAACTTACGTGTGGCTTATGTGGACACGGTGGAGCACGAAGACGGCGAGAAATCGTTCGATACGGTGCTGATCAAGAGCGAAGCCGACGAGATCGTCGAAGTGTACCGCTACTCTCTTCCTGGCGACCCTATCTTGGGAGAAGGTAAGCCTGAGAACCAGAACAATGCCATCCCGTTCACACGCGGAGAGTTCGTGCAGACGATCGATATGAACCAGCAACACTACTTCGAAGAGTGCTTAAAGATGCCCCAGCTGCTGTGCACTGCTGACTTGCACCCGTCCAAGAAACCCGTCTCGATTATTGGCATGCGTGAACACATTTTCACGGGTAATGCCAGTTCTCTTGCCAAGTTTAAAACGTGGCAGGAGCTTGTGTTCGTGACGCTGTCGCAGCGTGTACTGGCTGATCCGCTGTACGTGCGTATGCACTATGGTCACCCGGATGTGTTCGATAAAGTGTTGGCTATCACGCGCGGCGGAGTGTCCAAGGCCTCCAAGGGTATTAACTTGTCTGAAGATGTGTTCGCTGGTTTCAACTGTACTCTTCGTGGCGGTGTAGTCACCCACGTTGAGTTCATGCAGTGTGGTAAAGGACGTGACGTGGCGCTATCCCAGATCTCCATGTTTGAAGGTAAATTGGCCAACGGTGCCGGAGAAACGTCGCTGGCACGTGAGGCGCATCGTATGGGGCAGTTCATGGACTTTTTCCGACTCAACTCGATGTATTACTCGCACACGGGCTTCTACTACGCGACCTGGATGACGATTGTTACAACGTTTGTATACATGTACTGCAAGGTGTACATCGCGTTGTCTGGAGTGCAGACGCAGATCGTGTACAACATGAACACGACGGACGTGATCATGGACAACTCCGAGACTTACGGCTTCGATGACCGCGTGTACAAGGACATGGACTCGATTTACAACACTCAGTACTATATCCAAGCCGGTCTGTTCCTATCGCTGCCTCTGATCTGCGTTTACTTCGCCGAAATGGGTCTACGTCGCGGTCTCGTGCAGTTCTTGGAGATGGTGTTCACTGCTGGACCTGCGTTCTTTATCTTCCAACTCGGTACAACGATGCACTTCTTCGATAACAATTTGTTGCACGGTGAGGCGCAGTACAAGGCTACAGGACGAGGATTCAAGATCACAAGAGAGACGTTCGTGCTGCTGTACAAGGCGTACGCGCCCAGTCACTACCGTAAGGCTATGGAGTTGATTGGCTTGTGTCTGGTGTACTTGGCGTTCGGCCAATTCAACATTTGTGACCTTGACGTGGCCGGAGAAGAGAACTCGTTCGCGTTCGAGTACTGCCAGACGTCGCAGAGCTTTGGCGTGCAGACGTTTGCTATCTGGGTGATCGCTGTGGTGTGGCTGGTGTCTCCGTACATCTTCAACACGGACGGACTGGACTGGGAGAAGACAAAGGCGGATGTGACGGCCTGGGCCAAGTGGATGTACGCTGCTGAGGACTACCAGGACGAAGACAAGGTGATGGTGGGCGGATGGATTGGCTGGTGGAAAGGAGAGCTCAAGCTGTACCACAACACGAGGCCTATTGCTCGTCTCACTGTGATTCTCCGCGAATGCCGCCACTTCCTGCTCATGTGGTACGTGGTGGCTCTGGAGTGGGAGATCCTCACGGTTGGACTGGTGTTCGGTGCGGCCGTGGTCACCGTGCTGGCCATGGGACTCTTTGGAGCGGCGGGAAGCTGCATGCGCAGTGTCAAGTCGTCAGTGCGTGCGATTATCTACACGTTCGTAGTGGTGCTGGCCGTTATCGTGTTCTTCGTGCTGACTATTGCCATCTTCGACGTGAGCTTCACACGAACCATCTCGCTGTTCTTTGGCTACATGGCGGCGCTGTACGGCATCAATGAGATGGCGCGTATGTACAGCTTTGCCAACTCGTCGATCGCCACCGTGGGCATGTTCCAGCAGCTGGCGTTCTTCTTCGACTTTGTGTTCTCCGTGGCCATGATCATCCCGCTGCTAGTCATGTCGGCGATCCCGTTCTTGAACATCATCCAGACGCGTATGATGTACAACAAGGGCTTCTCGGAGGTCGTGTCGGCTTCGTCGCAGTACGCGTTCTCCTTGGCTGCGTTCATGGGTGTGCTGGGAGGCATGGGATGTGGTTGGTTGTTCCACTTATTCACCACTCTGGAGAGCACTGCTGGCTTCTTGAGTTACGTCACGACGTACGATCTACTGGACGGTAACGTGGGCGATGGCTCGGTCACGTACGCCTTCTACTTCGCGTGTATGGTGGGCACGTTTGTGGCTGGTTTCCTGAACTACTTTATCGGACGGCGACTGTCGATTGTTCTTGGTGGATTGCTGACTGTCCTGGGTATGCTGGGCGTCAGTGCTGTGCAGTCTGGTGGCGAAGGCTTCCTGATGCCTGGTATCTGCTTACTCGGAGGCTCTGTGGGCGTGTTGCTGCCTACTTTGGCCGTGTACATCTACGAGATTTCCACTCGTGACATGCGTGGCAAAGCGTTGCTGCTTCTTGGAAGTGGCTTCATTCTCGGCATCCTGTTCGCTGCGTGGTTCTCGTCGTCTTCTAATGAAGTGGGCTGGGTGTGGCAGGTGTTCATTGCGACCATCATCTTGTCGATCATGACGCCAGCAGTCTACATCTTCCCGGAGAGTCCGTACTGGGTCTACATGCGCGAAGGTTTGGAGTCGTGTGAACGCTGTCTGGCTGTACTGCGTCGTAAGGAAGGCGTGTCCGAGGAGCTGCGTATGATCCGCGACGAAGAGGCCGGTAGTGACGACTCGAGTGCTAACGGCGGTACTTCGTTCCTCAAGTTCGTGATGGGATTGTTCCTCATGCTCGTGTCCAGTATCTTCCTGGGGTGCGTGAACATGTACCTGTCCGACACGTTTCGCAGCATCGAAGACGCCACGTACATGTTCGTGAACTGTATGGGGCTGCAGTTCCTGGGTGCCTTGTTCTCGTTCTTCTTCATGGATCGTATCGACCACAAGCGCATCTTGTTCTGTACGTTGCTGCCTATGGCTGGGCTGGTGTTCGTTTTGGGACTCAACGACAAGTCGGAGTTTGTGACGGGAGACAGCGAGTATCTGATGCTGCAGATTGTCGGCTTGTTGCTCTATTTCTTCGCCGGTCTAGGTATCACGTCAGTGCCCTGGGTCTCGTGTGTCGGGCTGTTCACTACCAAGCAGCGCGCCGTGTACGTGACGGTCTACTTCATGGTGTTCTTCCTGTTGCCTGTGTGCGCCACATTCATCCGTTCCAGCGAGTCGATGAGTGGAGACGAGTACTTGTACCTGTTCACGTTGACTGGCTGCTGTGTGGTGGCGACGGCGCTGTTGTTCACAGTGGGGACGCTCAAGAATGGAATGGTCTGCACCAAGGGCGAGATGGAGGCCGAACGTGCTCGTCTGCGTCGTATCCGCGCTTCTCGTCGCAGTGCTCGTACGCCTGGCAGCGCGCGTTCAAGAAACTTTAGCCGTTCGCGTGCAAAGTCGCACTCGAACTATCAGATGTTCGAGTCGCCTGCTGGCAGCGCGCCGTAGATTGGACGTCGAGGCTTTGGCAAGATGAAGAGTGTACTCTAGGACGCACTGACGTCTGCTGTTTGGACATGCATCTTGCTTTTTTACTTACATATCGGTAATAAAAAAAGTTTTCCATAAAGACGATTGTTTTTTTACTAAGTGATATGAAAAAGGTAGAGGATGGTGTCGTCACTTGTGCTTAAAGAAGATGAGAGCTCGATGTGTTTGTCGTTCTGACGCTCGTCGAGTTGTCGAACTCTTCAACTTCAGCTTGAGCTCACCAATGCTTCAACGTAAACTGAACTCTGCTTTGTCTTCAACTTTTTCATTAGTTTCTTTTTCACAAAACTTACACGCGTTTGCATTTAACACTCGCTTATCAGTGCTTTTTTTTCTTCCCTTAAGCCTTTAAATTACGAATACTCCTACAACAATTGCCCAAAAGAACTAACTTACCACGCACGGCGAAGGATGCACTTCAGTCAAAGTGCATCATGAGAGCATTTTCACTTCCATCCGGTGATCTCGAGCTCTCAACTCTCCAGTGCTTCGTATCTCGAAATGTTAACGTAGCCTTCATGCAGCTACGGCGGAAGATCTGGAAATTTCAAGAATCTACAGACACTTCCGAGATAGTTGGCAGCGCTCGTTCACTTGTTACACGCAAGCGCTTCACCTTCCTGGATGCGTCGTTAGTGTCCGAGCGTTTGCGTTTCATCGCACTTGGTCTTTGTATTGTTTCCTGTTCTCTATCCGAGACAGGCTTCGAGATTCACTCGCTGGTGGCCAGTTCTGTCCTTCGGAGATCCTCACGAACCCTCACAGCGTCCGACTCGGGGTCTTCCATTTCTGCTTCTTGGTCCGGAATAATCTCTGGCGGTTGGCCACAAAAGTGTACGCGTTTCGGCTCTCCCTGTTGCTCATCAGCCGGATCGTCCAGATACACACTGAGGTCCGCTGTGCTGCCACTTTGGTCGGAAGAACCTGAAGCCTGCGAGTTCCCTGATTGTCCACGCGAACGCTTCCGTACTGGTCCAATACCTGAAAGTCCCAGCAGCTGAACGCCATCCGCACTACCTCTCCGATCGCACTCTGAAGCCATCAACATTGGTGCATCCTGATCAGGAGCATGAGGCTGTAGCTGACACACTGGTGCCATTGGGAACATCGGAGGCATACTTCGCCTTGTTGGCGATAGCTCCAATCGGTGCGTAATCTGAGAATTAAGCATCGTATTCTGTTGCAATTGCAGCTCATCAGGTGGGAGACCCACGCGGTTGCTGATAATTTCTTCAATTTGCTCGCGAGAATCAAACGACTGCAAATAAAAAGGGTTAATTATAATTTTTTTTTCGAACAAAAATAAAAAAAAACTTACTTTGAACGTGTAGGAACGAGAAGATGCTCCAAATTTGAGCACGGAACCATGCGCCACGAGCGTCGGCTGCAACGCTGTCAGTCTTAATCCGTCCACGAACGTTCCGTGAGCAGATCCAAGGTCCACCAGGTACGTCGCGCCTTTCTCATGATGCACTATAGTCGCATGGAGTCTCGAGATGGAGCAATGACTTAGTACGAGATCGCACACAGCCGCGTTCCTCCCAAGAAGGTAAAATGCCTTTTGGTCCACAGTATGCTGTAAAAATAAAATAATTGTCAGCTAAAAAAAATCAATCGAATTCTTTTCACTTCGTTGCAATCCTCACCGTGGCAATGAGCACGTGGTCTTTATACACGTCCAGCAAGGCAATCGACCTTGGTGGCTTGTGCACACACCTGTCGCAATAATAAAAAATAAAAAAAAATATTAAGTTCAGTTGAGTGAAAAAATTCGTGGGAGATGAGAGGAAAAGAGGAGAAACATGTCTCCGTACCATGTAGGAGGGGGAAATGGCACCGTGGGCGGGTCGATGGGGTCCAGGAACTTGGGCTGAGCCGCGAACGTGTCGAGGTGGAGTCTCGGGAGCTGCAGAGCCTGCTCCATGCTGTCTCTCGAGCTGTTTTTGCTGTTGCCGGGACTGGGGCGAAAGTTGCAGTGGCAAGTGCGAACGAAACTTGCCCTTGATTGTTGCGTCGGCAATTGAGGGGGGGGGGAAACGGAAAGCCACGGCGCGAGCGATGGCACGACGGTTGCCTATTGCCTTTTGCCTTCCTTTATCTCTGCCGAGTCGCGCGCAACAAGCGGACGAACGGAGTGTAGGATGCCTCAACCGAGTCACTTGCGCTCCCCGCTGGTGCTGTAGGCTGGCAACACGACCGGACACTCTTTGGATGGCCTGGCTCTGCGCAGGCAGAGAGACCCACGATGTGACGCAATTGGTCCGAACGCATGGAGCCAGACCGACGAGGTTTTTGACCAATCGAAGCGAGCGGTGAGCAGCAGGTCGGACTATTGGTGGAAAAGCCGAGCACCTTTCAGCAGCTACGTTGACCCAGGATGGAAGAGTACGTTATCGCGGCGTCGTGCTGGTTGCGCGTGCACTGACCGTTTCGACGCCTCTATCTCTGGTTGAAGGACACACGCTGACCGCCAGCGACAGGATGAGGAGGTCAAGGCGCGCATCAGTGAGCGACTGGTGCAGAGCGGCGAGAAGGAGCGACTGAAGGAGCTGCTGCGACTCAAACTGGTCGAGTGCGGCTGGCGCGATGAGATGAAGCTGCACTGCAAAGGTTGGCTGGGTAGTGCAGGGTGTTGGAGTGTATATACTGAGTGTTTGTCGATGGATATGTAGAGGTGATCCGGAATAAGGGCATCGACCAAGTGACGGTGGAAGATCTGATCGAGGAAATTACACCCAAAGGAAGAGGTGCGGCTGATAAGCGAGGAGCGGAGTTGAATGTGGGATATTGAGGTGATGCTTGTTGCTATTGTATGGATAGCATCGGTGCCTGAAGACGTTAAGAGCGATCTGCTGGAGAAGATTAAAGCGTTTATTGAGAAGGAAGCTGACATTAAGACGACCTAGAACTAGTAGCTCGTCGCCAAGGTGGATACCAGCAGCTGAAACTAAAAGCAGACGCGAACAACATTACCAGATACAAGACAGGAAAATCCAGCAGGCACAGACACAGAGATTCACTGACAGCGTGTTACCACATGGGTGTTTTGGTTGGCTTTCTTTCGCGCCCTCTCAACCTGTAACAGTCACTAATTTGAAAAAAAAAGTCACTATAGTTTTAGTGTGGAAAACATCATATTTACGTTTTGCCACACAAAGGTTTCATATTGTGCGGCTGCCACTCACTCGTGCAACAAGCTCAAGCTCGGACGAACATGGTGGTGAGATTGCGCCTGGCCCGCTGGGGACGTAAGGACCTGCCTTTCTACCGCATTGTGGCGGCGGATGCTCGCGCCCCGCGCGATGGCAAGCACCTCGAGATCGTACGTTTGCGTTGCATCATCTTACGCTGTTGTTCATTGCCACAAAAAGCAACAAAGTTTCTGACGATTGCCAACTCTTGCTACTTGCTACTTTTGCAGCTTGGCACGTTCAACCCAATTGCCGCCAGCGACGGCGTGAAGGAACTCCGTGTGAACAGCCAGCGCGTACGCTACTGGATGTCCGTTGGTGCACAGCCCTCTGACCGTGTGGCACACCTTCTGGGTCTAGCCAACGTGTTGCCTATGCCTCCTACCCGCCAATACACCAAGAAGAACGTGCCCAAGAAGGATCGCGAGTAGACTCCAAGACAGGAGATGGACAGCTTAACTGTAGATGGCAACAAAGGGAGTAGATGGAGATACATGTTCACTTTTTCACTTGCAATCTTGGACTCATTTTTGTGGCAATTGCAACTGTAAAATGCAACTTTTCTATTGGAAATGCAAATGCAACAGTGGTGCAGCCTACTTCCTGGGGGTACGCGCTCGAGGAGCAGGTCCACGAGCGGAGCCTCCGCCCTTGAGCATGTGTCCGCCCTTGCGCACTTGCTGGTTGAACGTGGCGTTCTGTTCCTCGAGCCAGCGGCGGATCTCCTTCTGTTTCTCCTCCTTGGCAGCCAGACGCGCCTCCTCCTCCTTCTGCTTCTCGCGGTGAATAAACTCAGCATCACGGCGAAGTTCGCGCGCCGCTCCCTTGCGAGCGCGCTTGACCTGGCGCTGCAACTGCTTGAGTTGCGCAGTGTCCTTCGGCGCCGTCTTGTCCTTCCGCACCGTGTAATTCTCATCAAACTGCGGTGCAAATGTCGGCAACGTCGTGGGTGCGAAACTTTGCAGTCGCAGCGGGCGACGAGCGTTCCAGCACGACTCGAGGCGAGTGTGGAGCTTCGAGATAACCGCGTTGACTTCCGATACCGTATTGTCTTCCAGTTGCTTTACAAGAGCGTGTAGCAACAGGTAGAGCGGGTAGAACAGCTCGTCAAATGACGGCAACGACGCGTACTGAGCCGATGCAACATCCAGTAGAACCAGTAGAGCGCTCAACACTTGCACACCGCTGCAAGACGAGCTTCCAGCCAATGAGAGACGCGGTAGAGCAGGCATTTTCTCTTCTTTTTGAGCAGATACCCACTCCAGCAAGTCCCGACGTAGCCACTGGGTCGAACTGTCATCACTAGACGTCACAAAGGCACGGAGAATGCGAGTCAGGAAGCTCACAACCTCAGGCATGAAGCGTTCCTTAGACCGCGTCATATCCAGAGACAACGAGGCCGCGAACAGAGCTTGCGTGGCCTCCTGTGGCGACGTTACAGTGCCACGAGCCAAGCTCTCACCCAGTAGTGTCTCCATGGGGGACACCACGTTGTGTCGTAAGTCCGAAGTCGGGAAAATGGAGGTTAACACCTTGAACAGCAGTAGTTCAGGTAGAGTGGGCCACGCTGACGTTGATGCACGCTTGTGTAAGCGCTTGAAGAGCTGAGCTAGCAGCTCACGCACTACGATACCCGCAGTATCACCCATCTGCTGAGCCAAAGTGTACATGTTCGTGGCTAGCGAGTCCAACTGCATGTAACATGGTTAGAAACTAGAAGAAAACATACACATATTGTCATGAACGTACGTCTTGCTTGTGTCCAGCGTAGCGCGCGGCGAAGATGAGGAACTGACGCACCATGACGGCGAAGAAGCGCTTCATTTTGTTCTTGTTTTCCACGCTAAGTCGCGGGTTGTAGTACGTCACGATGCGCTCCAAGATAAGGCCTCGCTTCGCAGAAGAGTTACGTGCGTGTTGCTTAAACAGCGCCGCCAGTTCTTCAGGAGATTCCGGACATTCAAACACGAACGGAAGCTCCGCTGCAGCCTCCTCAGCGTCCTGCTGACGCTTCTGTTTCTCCGTTTCTTCGTCACTTTCATCGTCCTGCTCTTCTTCGTCTTCTTCTTCTTCTTCCTTCTCTTCTTTAGACTCCTCTTCATCGTCTGATTCCACCTCAGAATCAGCTTCTGATTCCTCTTCACTCTCTTGCTCCTCATTCTCTTCATCTTCAGCTTCTTCATTCTCTTCTTCAGCGGCAAAACGCGCATCAACTGCGTAGCCATCGGTGAGATCGTCATCCGTAGGCGGCATCATGATGAGCTGCGGGGTTTTCTTCTTGTTTTTCTTGCCTTTCTTACGCTTTCCGTCATCGTCACTGTCGCTATCGTCGTCCGCGCCATTCATACGGGCTACACGTTTCTTTTCCAGCTCTGCCAGTCGATCGCGTTCCTTTGCAGCAGCCTCTTCAGGCGACATGCGACGCTCCGTGGCCTTGGCTTTCGCCTCAAAGGCAAATTCTCGTGTGAGCTTATCAAACTCATCCATGGGCTCTTTAGGCAACAATTCCTTGCCATTTGCACGTGTGGGACGGAACTCGAGTAGTCCACGCACATCTGCGAAGCCCTCGTCCAATTTATCCGTCGCATCCTCCTGCGAACTCTTGTTCTTCTGACGCTCGGCCTTGTACAGTTTGGCCTTCATCATAACCTCGTGCATAACCTCTTTATGCGTTTTTCTTTTGCCATCGCTCTCTTCGTTATCTCCTTTGCCACCTCCGAAATGCAGCTGGTTGACAATATCCCTGTCCATCTTCTTGCCTTCCTCCGAGTCGTCCTCGTCGTCTAGTGGACCGTCAGCATTGAGCTGATCGTAGTCGTCGTCGGTGATTTTGGCGCCTTTATGCGTTAAGAACAGCGCGTCGTCGTCATCCTGTTCCGAGTCTGAGTCGTGTAACGCAAATGCGGACGCGTTGCGTAGTTTACGCTTGCGTTCGGTCTGGAAACGTGCCATCATTTTGTCCTCCATGGAAAGTGTAGGGTCCTGCTCGCCCAGACGCTTGTCTTTGAATACGTTGCTCTTGTTGCGAGCTTTAAATTCGGCACCTAGCGTCTTGTGACGCTTGCGTTCGGCCTCGGCGCGAGCTGCAGCCACATTACGGCCTGCGCCTTTGACGCGACGTCCAATAACCTCGTGCTTTTGCTTGCTGGCATTGCCACGCACGTCGAATGGATTGCTGCCTTTCGAGCTACTGGCGCGCACGAATCCGTGCTTCTGCTTCTTGACGGAGACCTTCTTGCCGCCGCCCTTCTTGAACGCCATGGCTAGAAGCTGCTGTGGATGGAAGTGCAGACGCTAGCGAAGGTTTGGTTGGTCTCCAACAAGTTGCAAAAAGGGTACGGTGGTAACCCCGATTTAATTTAAGTAACCCTGTTTTATATTTATTGTGTATTAATTAAAAAAGAAAATATTATTTTCCAACTTGTATTTTCATTTTTTTTTTTTTTTAATGAAGAGAAGTTGCTGATCACAGGGAGACGAACAGTAGGCTCACGGGTACTTTCCCTGGCTAAGAGAATTCAACGCCACGGTACGAAGCGAATGTTTCGCGCATAATGCTACCGTAAAAAACACAGAGCAATTTGTTGCCGTCCTCACACCAAAAATATGAGAACATACGGGTACAGACAATTTGCGATCTGAAATTTCTTTTGGTACAGTTCTTTTTCAGTTGTATTTCATCAACCACTACGAATGTTCTTTATTAGTTGTTGTCATTTTATTACAATGGTAGCATGTCTGCCCTACATACATTATTTCGCGGTTTCCTAGTTACACCCTCATTTCAGATTGTAAAAGATGCTGCTACTGGTAAACTCCGTACTCATCGAAGGAGGTAGCGTATTCTCTATGGAATCGAGAAGTAGATGACGGTGCATCTTTTAAAGGTTGCGATCGAATCCGAACAAGGTCCACAACTCTTTCTGGCGAAGGATAACGGCGCGTGGATGGAATTTGACTACGAAGATGAAACATATTGAAGAAAGATAAGCAACAACAAGGAGAGTCTGCGGTACTATAATAGACGTTCTCGCTGATATGCCACGGCGAAACGCTGAGCAAATTCATGCACTAGTGAAATTGCAACAATCAACACGGGCCCGTTGCTTCTCAGACAAAGAATTTATTGAATAGCGTCAATTTGCGGGTCACACCAACGACGGAGCTCAATCCTCCAGACAGCACTATGGCAGGCTCTCATAAGAGATCGGACCAAAAATGGTTGCGGATGCTATGTTGACATTACCGGATGGAGTTTATCTGCTAGGATTCGACTCTTGACTCAAATGACCTTCCGAGGAGTTTCTCGTGCTAAAATCTTATACTTTACAAGCGCTAGCGAGAAGTGACTCTGCTACGAAGTCAATTGAGTGGTGGTGTTGTGCAACCAAAAGATTGTATTCGACAGAGGCATATTGAAGCTTGACGGTTTACAATACGGGAATAATCTCTACTTATGGCAGTCTCATGTTGATTTTAGACTTAGTGCAGACTTTACAACTTTGGCAGAGACTTTGCTTGCTTGTGTGTAAGAATATAAAAAAGTGGTATTCTCAGCGCAAGTCCCAAACGACTAGTAAAACTATAGTCTTACTGTTTCTGCGTCAGGAACGGGTAGTCCGTGTAGCCCGACTCGGGTGGCACACCCGGCTGTGGGAAGAACGTCTTCGCATTCTGCGCGTTAAACTCAGCGCCGATACGCAGACGTTCCACGAGATCCGGGTTCGCAATGAAGTCGCGTCCGAATGCCACCAGGTCAGCGGCGCCTTCTTCCACTGTCTTAATCGCGTCTTCACGGTCGTAACCAGCAGCAGTAACCAGGACGCTCTTGTAGGCGTTACGGAAGTGGCGAGTAACCCCAACCTGCGGCACTTGGACGTTAGCCGCGTGCATGCCGCGACGTTCAATCACATGGACGAAGGCGAGATCGTAGTCGTTGAGTTTGTTCACAACGTAGCCGTACGTCTCAGACGGCGTCGAGTCCTTACAGCCGAACGTGTCACCGAACGGAGACAAGCGGATTCCCACTTGACTCGAAGGCAGACTAGACAGAATGGCCTCCACCACCTCGAAGATGATGCGGGCGCGGTTCTCGATACTGCCTCCATACTTATCCGTACGCTTGTTCACGCCGTCACACAGGAACTGCTCGAGGAGATAGCCGTTGGCAGCGTGGATCTCCACGCCGTCAAAGCCCGCAGCAATGGCATTCTCCGCGGCGCGCTTGTAGTCCGCGACAATACCGGGGATCTCCTCGATCTCCAAGGCACGCGGAGTCACGTAGTCTTTACGGCCTTCACGTGTGACAGCATGAGCGTTAATGTCATCGATGCCGGTCGCACTCGACGATACGGGGAGTTGTCCGTCAGGTTGGTTCAGTGGATGACTCATTCGTCCAGCATGCCCAAGCTGCACAAAGATCTTGCCTCCTTTGTCGTGGACAGCTTTAGTTACAGCCTTCCAGCCGTCAACCTGCGCTTGGTTGAAGAGTCCTGGAGCGCCAAAGAATCCGCAAGACGTCGGACTGATGTTGGTGGCCTCAGCGATGAGAAGTCCACCGTCTGTAGCACGTTGAGCGTAGTGTTCGGCCACTAGAGCAGTAGGAACGCCGCTTTCTCCAATACGCAACCGCGTTAAAGGAGCCATGACGACGCGGTGTTTCAGCTCGACGAGAGTTTTCTTGCCGCCCAGTTTGAAAGGCGTGAAGAGTTTCGAGGCGATAGCAGTGGCCATGGTCGGTGTTGATATTCAGTGTTGGTTTGTTGTTGGCAAATTGAAGAATGAGGTTAAATGAGGCTCACGGTGAATTGGTGACATCGAATTAGTCTAGAAACAGCAGCATTCCGCCAACCACGAGGCGGCTCACTGAGCAATGCTCAGTGTGACTTGTTTGTGACAATCAGATTGTTCACGTTATCAAAATATCAAAACTCACCGTACAGTAAGCAAAACTCACCGTACAGTAAACAAAGTATTTGTAACAAATCGCTTTGAAGTAATTGTTTACATTTCTAAATCTGACTCAATCACTCTTCAACATGCATTCTGTTGTATCCCGGTTGAAATCGTCGAGAGGTGCTTTGTCGATGGGGTGGCATCGCACGGTATATATTGAGGTATGAAACGAGCCAAAGAAGACAATTGGTCGACTCTAAGTGGGTTAAGAATGCTTGTCTAAGGCTTGCCACGGATGACTCTGAAGTGGCGTACAACTTGCTTCTCAACCGTGTTAATGAGGACTTTAAAAGGACTGTTTTGAGTTCGCATCGCAGTATGTACAGCAGGAGGTTTACAAGCACCTGTATACACAGAACAAAGCGAAGCTTCTCAAGTTTATCGCCGAACCGGGAGGTGTCTGCTTTATAGCTGTACTTCGTGGTCAAAGGACATGGGTGCTCGATACTGCCGCTACCTTCTTGCTGGGAGGGAAGATTGAATACTTGCTGTTTGTTTTGACAACAATGCTGGCAATGACAATTGTGATTTCCTTTAAATGCCTACTCTATCTGACGACTAAAGCTAATGCATAATAGCTGAGACTTGCACCTTGCTGTTACTCCCAATTATCAAACAAGAATGCCTGCCAAGAGAGGCATCAATACAGCCATAAATGTGTAGCCGGACATTCCGGAAGGTGGGCAGTATTTCAATAATTCGCTGTGAAATACTATCCATTATTAAGTGCTAGATTGGAGAGGATGGCTTCAAGGAAATCCAAGAAAAAAAAGTCAGCTACGAAGGAAATGATTGGTGCCTGACTGACTAGGCCTGAAGCCTTAACGTTACTTATCGCAGAAACTATAAGGGGATTCGAAGATTTTGAGGACCCGAGATTTTACACTACTAAACTTCTTGTTTTGATCAAAGCACAGGTGTTGTTTCCATGTTTTATTTATTGTTGCTACTACAGTTGCACATGATAAATCAACACAAAGGAGAAACAAAACAACTTTCTCTAATGTTCTCTTTTTATGGAACATGGTTGTCATTTGACAGAATTCTCTCAAAAACTCACCTTCGCTAGTGACACTTTGAGCTTCGGCATCGGTTTTCCAAGGTCTTTTTCAATCCCATTTATGATATGCCGCATCTTACCACTCTGACAATGTTGCTTCCTTTTGTGGTGTGTCCAGATCGTTCGATGGTATGCTCTTGTAGTTAAGCTTCGGATTGCCGAACCACCACAGCATCCACGCCCCTAGTGGATCGATACTTGGAAAGTCGAAGTCTTTTGGAAGCACGTGAAATTTCTCACCCATGTATGATAATAGCGAGTTTGTGCTGGCGATGGAGTTGATGAGGCCGCTGATTTCTCTTTTTCAAGCCCAACCTCTTTTAATAACGCTCTTATTTCTTCACGCAAAGGTCCCTCGTTATATTACCCGCTGCCACACCTTTCTTTTTCAATATCGCTTCCACTCTTTGCTCACGTTTATCAGGAAGTGAGTCAATAGACTGCTGCTGCTTATCAAGGTTTTTGTAGAGCTCAATGTAGGGTGGAATACCTGTCGGGTTCATCCAGCTTGAATCCCCAAGTTGAAGTTGCTTTTCTAGGCTGTAAGAAACGTTCACACTCGTAAATACTATTGTTGAGAGCAGCGTGTGGTTTGCTAGTATATTCTGCTGTAAATATTCCCCGTGAAAAACCAGCGATGCCAGACATAACTGCAAAATGCTATTTAAATTAGGTTCATCCTCAAGACTTGGAAAAACCGTTCTCAACTCTGATGTTATTGTGCTATCACTGGTGGCCTTAAAATGTGGCGGTAGTGTAGCAAATGTTGAATCATTTATAGGTAGCTCAGCAACGAGGAAGAGATAAGAAAAATCTCCATCACTAAGTTCCAAAGTTTTTTTTACAGAGTTTCTGGTAAAGCGAGTAGGTCAACGGCTGCTTTCCGGACGTCTTCGGGTTACTGATCTGGTCACTATTAGCCTTCATGCGCTTCATTCCCGAGAAATGCTGTTTCATTCCATCTCCATATTCAGGCGGCAAAGCTAGACACCTAGGTCCTTAATTGCACTCCGATAACCACTTAGTGTCCCAACTTCACATCACGGCTCTTGTATACAAGAAACTGCTCAAAATACGGAGGCGTGAACTCCATTAGATTAAGTTCACCACTGCAGCCATAGATTCGATCCGCGTTGTGGTCGACTTTAGCAAGCTCCTTGCGAATCCACTTTGCAATGCCGTTCAGGCTACTTTTGTACTTCCCTCTTGTTTGATTGGTAACGCAAGCATCTCGAATGGTTCACACGTCAGCTACAGCCATCCCGCAGGCCGTGCTTCCGCTGGTATGTTGCGCGCTTCCTTCACTCATTTTGCAGTTCTGGGTAGTTTCAGGTCAATTTTAGCCAATAGGAACAGTGTGTTACCGTAAGACGGTCCCACTTACGATTGGTTGGAAAATCGGGATGGCGAGTCCTTGTATTGTGAGCCTATGTCAAAATACGAGTAAGAATATTTCTTTTTGATAAAATGTAAGTGGTAAGCGATTACGAATTGACGCGAAACTCAATATATTACTTATGAAAGTACAGGAATCGAATTTGTTTAAACTTTTCCCTTAGACTCAATATTGATCATTATTACCCAAAACAACTCGGGCAACTTCATCAAAGCTGAAAAGCCTCGGATCATCAGTTGTTGAGCTCCGTCTCTTCACAAAAGCCTAGCTAGGAGCTCGCGCGGAAGCCTGGCGTCATTGTTCGCGAGACCCATCATCTGGTTGCAGCAGTGCCGCCGATACCCAGGGATTCTGCTCAGCACTCAATTTGATTTGCACCCTTCGAGGGACGTAGGGTGCGATGGTGGGCGACCAAGTTATGGAAGTCGACTCCTCTCCTTCACTGCAGCAGATGGCACCCCCTCTTGTTCGTCGATCCCCGCGACTCGCTGCTCGGCACGTTACCAACTCGCCATTTGTCCAGTTGCGGACCCCACGCGCTGGAGCTGCACGAAAGCCTGGGCGTCCCAAGCATATGATTTGGAACTACTTCAACAAAAGTCACGGATGGGTCATTGAAAGCGCACGCAAAATGCACATACTGCCAAGAGATTATTCGGAGCGCTCAGCAGGGACAAATAGGCAAAGGCATATAAAGATTTGTGTCAATGCTCCGGCTACAGTCAAGCAGCAAGTTCACGATCATTTCCCTGACGTTGAACGTCGGGTAACTTCTAGTGCTCGAGGTACGACGGCTACCACTGCCGCGGCATCTTATGCCAGTGAAGCCGCACCTACAGACGTCGTCACGGCGCATGAACCACCAGAGCTGACGCCCATCCAGAAGCAGCAGAAGTTTGAAATGAAGTTGGCGACCATGTTTTACCTATGTGCTTTACCGTTTTCGCTGGTTGAATCGATGACATTTCGCGCACCGTTCTTGCTTGTGGCCCCATGGGTCAGGTTTCCGTCCAGGCGCAGGCGGAGTGGTGTCGTGCGCGCGATCAAGTTCGTCAGAGAGCTGTTCGACTAAGTGTGAACAAAGGTTTGTCACTACCGTGACGGATAGCTGAACCACTCAACCATAATCAACTTCGTGGTGGTGGCACCTGGAATGCCGTCGATGTTTTGGTCGTCTTTGGCTCTTGGCACCGTTTCAGAAACGGCCCGGTATGTCGCGGACCACCCCGGGCGAGTGATTGATGAAGTTGAACGCTGTGGTGGCTGGTGTGCTGACGGACAATGCCACCAACATGACTGGTGCGTGGTATATATTGGAGATAGGCCGATTTTAAGAGGGGGTTGCTCCGATCACGGATTGAACTTGTTGATTGAGGACATGTGCAAATTGGACTTCTTCAAGGAGATTCATTCCAAGGCACTTGGTATTACGACATATGTCCGAAATCATCACGCAGTACTGAGTCAGTTCCAAGACATATTACGTAAATCGCGCTCCGGTCGTCGTCGAGAGTTGTCTGTATCTATCAGTACACGTTGGTACTCTGTCCACGCTTGTTAGTCGCGGTTGCTCGAGAACAAAACTATCTTGAAGAAGCTGCTTCTGGCGCCACAATTTGCTACTTTGATAAAGCGCTCTGCGTCAAGCTCAGTAGCAGTTGACAAATTCCGTCATGTGAAGAACTATTTCAAGGACGCCAGATTCTGGAGTAACCTGGAGCAAGTCGTCGGTTTCCTAGACTCGTGATTGAAGCTCTACGCGAAGTAGAGTAGGACAACTGCCCCGTCTCTCGCGTCTACTCACGCTTTCGAGAGCTGCTAAACCATCCTGCGCATGGCACTGATAATCAGCAGTCCCCTCTCCAAGAATCAATCAAGAGCGTCGCACGACATCGATGGAACTTCGTGCATACCAACGCTATAGGGCTGCAATTCCTTCTTGATGTAGTGTCCGCCGCCGTCATCCTGGGCTCAGGCCAATGGCGACGCAGGGATGTGTATGGCGCCGCAGCGTCGGCGTTGCCTGCTTGCAGTTAGTGTCGGTGACGGACTCAAGGGCGCCAACCAGATCACCGCATGGCGCTAGCCGTGATGACCACTCACTCATGGATACTGTTCAGCCAACGAAGATGAAGCTACGAATGCGTCGTCACGAGGAGGCTTCGACTCAGCGCTGCCGCTCTCTTTTCATATCTGCACATCGACTCGACTATACGCAGGGACTAGCTGTAGTTTACTTAGCTTCGAGTTCTGTTAAATAAATGGCATTCCACAATTTCCCGTCTTCGGCTTAAGCAACTCTACACTTGACCCACACATGAACCTGGATCACTTTGAAGGAGCCGACGAATAAAACACCTACAAACAAGGATGTGATTTTGCCAAACGGAGTGGCATTCTCGATCGCCTTAATGTGACTAGGGACGATTTCAACGGTGCATTATATGCATTTGCGGGGGATAAACGGAGGTGGTCAGATGCAACCAAAGCCAATCATACTGGAGTATCGCCTCATAATTGGTGGTACGCGAATGCTAAACACTATCCTATGATGTGGGAGATCGCAAAGCTCGTGTTCGCTATTCCAACATTTTCTGCGGCCAGTGAGCGCGCTTGGAGCATTATGGATTTCATCCATTCGAAGAAACGCAACCGGTTGTCTGTTGAGAAAGTAGATATGCTCGCGTATATCTACGTTAACGACCACACCGTGCAGGAGGAAGGAGCGGACTGGGCACGGCTACACCCTTACCCCGAGAGCCATTATTCTCTAGACAGAGACGCCTAGGATGTGTGCAGCCGTCGAGATCCAGGAGAGTCGAGGAAAACGCATTTAAGCGTCGTCGTATATTGAGGCAGATTCGACTCAGCCTCCTACATGAAGTGCATGTATCGTTATAGTGTGTGTTTCCCACTTTGACACTACATCATAAAAAATGCCATACTTTGTTTGCGTTCACGAAATCTTGCTACCTGCCGACATGAATATATTTTTAGATCCGTTGTTGTGATTTGTATTGAGCAATACTGATAAAAAAAGTTAAAACTATTACCCAGTAACTCCATACCACCACTTGATGCAAGACAACAACATCGTCCTCTTGCTGCGTCGCGACCACTATGAAGGAAAAGTGTATTCGTCTCGTACTGTGACGGGGTCACACAGCACCTTGTGCAGAGGAAGTTTATTGCCTCTAGAGTATACAAACTCTAAGTGAACGACCGTTCACGTGTCCCTGGTCTGAAGGGGACGAAGTACTCACTTGAGGG